AATAAAATTTTATTCACTTCAAATAAAGGATGGGATTAAATTCGGTAGAGCTAATTAGGAAATTGGTTTCAGACATAGATATTCTTGTTACTGTAAAATTATGCCTCCGACAATATACTTTTTTAATTTTATATATTTTTATTTTGCTACTTTTTAATTCCCATAAAGCACATAACATTTCTGAAATATTTCAGAATTATTTCACTAAAAGATTTGAATGCGAAATATTGTTGCATTATTAAATTTAAAAATTGTTAAATTAAATTATGCAGTTAAAAAATTTTCAAAAACTCTATTTATTACTAATAATTTATTCAATTTATTTATTATTCAATTATATATTATTATTAAATGTATATTTAATTCTTAACTATTTTTAAGTAATTTTAATTTTTGCTTTCAAAAAGCAAAAATTTGATTTCTAATTCTTGGTAAAAAAGAAGAGAATATAAAACAGATAAAACTTTTGTCATATATCTATGTATGACAAGGCCCATTTTTTCCTGAGTAAGGAAACGAATTCTTCTTATAGTCTCTCTAACTCTTGTTGATAGCGAAAGAGTTATCATATAGCCATGAGATCAAAAAGGTGTATTGTCAAATTTAGCAATTAAAGCAATTGATTTTTATGTAGTTCTCACTTATCTCACTTCTTTCATGAAAGGAGACGAAAAAACAAAGGATAGCGTTTTGTTTGATATGCACCACTATATTGAATGTTGTCTCGGGAAAGTCTCGTCTTGAGACATAGTCTCGACACTTTTTCAATTAAATAAAAAATACATTGATTCCTATATAAATTTTTTAAATTCTGATAAATTACATTATTTTTTCATCTGTGTTGAAAATTTTCGAGTCTCGCGGCAACACACTTCCTAACATTAGCAAGCCAGTAATTTAATCATCAAACCACGCACGAATTCTGTGATGGCTTGCTTATTACGTGAGAACATAGACCAACTGATATCTGTGTTGTTAACTTTATTATTTTAAATAATATTGTATTCACAACTCGGCACAATTGTTACTCTTTTGCCTCCTTTTATTAATAATAAAGCCTCTGCAACAAATTTAAGTTAGACTTTCGAATTGCTATAAATAATGTGCTATGATGTGTATGCAGTATGTTGTGTTTCGATTTTCGAATTGGCCGACTTGATTCGAAAATCGAGTCGACTCGAGCAATCCGAATCGAAAGTTAACCGAGTCGAGTCGTGCAATTCGAAACTTCGAATTGCCCGATTCGAATCGAAAGTAGACCGAGGCGAGTTGTGCAATTCGAAATTCGAAACGTCGATTTTCGAATTATCTCCGCTTCGAATTTTCGTCTCGATTAAATGCACACCTCTAATTATTATGTATTGCATACATGTAATATTAGTAATATTAAAATGTAATATTATAGTAAGAAACAAAACAATACACAAAATTATGTATAAGAAGAATTTTATAAGCTCTCTATAAGTAGAACTATAAATGCCTGGACCATTCCTATAGAAGCTCCATTCTATCCATCGCTGCCCTGCGCCCTGGTTGTCTCACTGTTAATAGAAAGCATAAATAATAATAAAATTGCCAATATTTAGAAAGTTAAATAATATTTTTTTCTTCAAGTTATTTATTTAAATTAACGAGTTTATATAATTTCTATCCACCAGGATAAATCCTTACCTTTTGCAAATACAGAATAAAGATACCATCATAAAAAATTACATCTTAGAATAGGATGTTTTATAAAGTATCTTTATTGATATCTAAGATGATTTATGCGTTTTAACAATATTTTAAAATATTTCTTCCACCTTAGAAAAGTAAGTTAATACGACAAGTTTCTAAAAGTATCTTTAATTATGATACCTCTTTTTGCAGTGTATCTATTTTTAAGAGAAATAAGTATATTTGAATATAATACATTTTAAGTAGTAATATGACCCATAAAATTTCGTATTCATGTGAATGGAAGAATTTACTGACACTTAATATAATCACTTTTGTGCAATTTTTTAGTTTACATGAATGAGGAATTCTTTATTGTATGTGTCACAAATACTTAACACTTTCCTGAAAATACAACTACTGTAATACAAAAGATAAACGTTATGACTAATATATAAACTAGAATTAACTAGTATTTTCTTGTGAATTTCCAATTAATCATTTTTATATACAGAAATAATTACTTAAATGTCAATTTAAATCTTTTCTAAATACGGTATATTATGTTACAAATAATAGTCGACTTTTTAAATATTATCGAGTTGTGCCATATGTATAGCAAATTTGTTATACTCTTCTACACCTACCTCTGAACGAGAATTCTAAAATATTAGTTACTCTCTAATTGTCTAACAATTACTTAACAATCATAATACAACACACTGCTAGATCATAATTATGTGAGTCCTAATACTGGCTGTAATTTAAAAAAAAATTCTTTTATTTCTCTGATCGTAAAGAATGTCTACTCCTTTAATTATATATAAATCATAAAAATAATAACTTTCAGCGATTGATTTTACTATATGAAAGTACAAAATACATTTATCGATATCATTTAAAAGCTATAATGTACTGTTAATAATACTGTTAATGTACTATTAATAACATTCTCTCTATAGAATGTTCGTTTTTTTGTTAATATAATTTTTTATGAACATTTAATTTTTTAGCAATACTGAAGATGATCAGCGTTGACCTGATCGAAAAGCTTATATAATAAATATGACTTTCATGAAATTGACTTGCTAAGAAACTATTGCTTACACCTTACATATGATATATTCAGCCACAAGTCGAAACTAAAAAACTATGTACATCTAATTATAATTAATAAACAAAAGTACTAAAAAATTGCTCGTCTTAAAGTTCACTATTATAATAATCTATAAAACTACTGCTTTTTGAAAACATTCCCATTGAAAGTAGAAATTTTATTACGTATTGGCCTTTGAATGGTTGAACTTTACCAATCGTGCACGACAAATTTTTTTGACAGTTTAAGTCGATTTTGTGAATATAATTTTATTATTAGAATAAGTTCGTTATATTAGTATTGTAGGAAAAGCGTGCGCTCCTCAAGAATATATAATAATGCATCTAATATGTGTACATATACTCTCTAAATCTGAATTAGTGCGGATTCGTTTACCAATTTGAATTAGTAACATTTTTTACTAATTGCTGTAGAAAATTACTAATTCAATTATTAGAACGTATTTTTTACTATTTCAAATTAGTAAATTTTCTACTAATAATTAGTAAAAACAGTTACTAATTCAATTGGTAAACGAGTCCGCACTATTTCATTAGTAGAAAACTACTAATTCAGATTTAGAGAGTATATAATATGTTTACTGTGATATTTAGAGGTGCAATGCGGAACATCTAATATCGACTATGGTAAAGTTTATTAGTTATTAAATGTGGATTTACCTTATTTACACATTTTTATCGTTATTTTTGTGGAGCACTTTCCAACTTTTATTTTAGTATTCATGGACTTTTACCATTGTATTTTATAAATTTTATAACCCTTTTCAATTATTATTAAATTTATAAAGCTCAAGTATTTGTCATATATACAACTTCCTCTCCTTCTTTAAAATCATGATTTTTATTGAAATAAGAAATACTGACTTCCACGCTGCCGTCCTGATTAATGTATGGCCGTGTTTTTTGGCAAAAATTACTATTTTTAATACCACTTGAACCTTATAAAATCGATTCTAATCAACAAGAAAATTCTTTCGTTAAATTACGAGCTATGCTCACCGATTAACAGAAAATATTTGGATTTTTAATTGTAGATGAAGCATAATTCAGGTTAAGAAACTTTCCATAAGTAAAACTAGAGAAACGAAAACAACTTAGTTACCTACTTTAAAAAAAAAAAACATTTAAAAATCATTTTTTTAAAAAACTCTCGGTGCATTGCAAAAAGAAGATTCTTAATTTCAGATGTTTTTGTAGTCACTTTTTAGTTATTTGAAATATTTTAGTTTAAAATGTTACAAGAATTTTCATAACACATTGTCAGCATATCGATTTAATGCTTTTACGTATATATATGTTTGATTGATAATATGTTATTTTTTTGGTTAAAGTTGTCGAGTTTAATTTATTCATTTGTTTTGCTTCAAATCTCTTTAACTTTTCAAACATTTTTGTAACTAAAAATATTATATTTTCTAAAGTGATAGAGAATCCCACAATTTTATTGTTCAAATAAAATCTTAAAAGTATTCTCTATTTGATTATTTAAAAAAAAATCAAGAAGTAAGATGGAGAACAAATTTTTTTTAACCCCAAAAATTAAAAAGTTAATTTATTTAAACAAATTATATTTTTTAATTAAAATGTTAATCATTTATCTAAAGTACAATTCCTCAGGTAATCTCTCCTCCAATTTTTATTAAAATCGGTTCATCCGATCGCGAGTAATTAGCTATTTACTAAAACGCTACAAATAACTTTGACCTGGAATAACTTTGGCAAATATTCGAATGTCGGAAAACTATTTACAAGTTTTTATTGTACCATCATAGGCTATCGAAACATATAAGAATAAGAAAAATTCACAAATCCAATAAAAAATAGGGGCCCATTTCAGGAATTCTTATACCCATAAAGTATTTTAGGTATCAATAAGATATATTAGAAAAACTTTTAATCTAATATGTAAGATACTATTTCTCTGTCTTTCGCCTCATTTTAAGATCTCAGAAACACACCTATTTTTATAGTGTAGAAAATTTTATTCTTTAATTTTAATCTAAAAACATTCTAGCCAAAAGTGAAATATTAGTTCATTAAATTTTCTTGTACTATTTTTTTCGTGTGCGTGAGGTATTAATAAACTTAAGAAAACTGTCAGTACTCTGTGTGAATAGTAATAAAACCAGAAAGAAAACTTAAAAAAAACATAAAAACATACATACTGATTCAGAAATTTTTTTATAATATAAATACCTATATGTACATATATTCTTTTTTCTTTTCAGTGACTACTTTGAGAAGGATTGCTTTCAATGGATGCGTTCAAATCCAGTTCTTGTGATTAAAAGAAAAATAGACCTAAATCCATATGAAAAGAAGGTAAATTTAATAAATTATATATATTTAATTTATGTGTAACTGAGAGCTTACGTGCAATAAGGGGAAACGCGCTACACGGAGAAACTTTTAGTAACAATATTTCTCTTATTGCTTATCATTATGCTCAATAAATCATAAGAATGTAGGGATAATCGAGGTATAGTTAGAAAATTCTAATAATGATTATGAAAAGACCCAGTTGACTTCTCTCTTTTTGTGATAAGTTGCAAAAGTTTTATACTTCTTCAAACATATAATTATATTATCTACCAAAGATAGTAGAAAGATTAAAATATAGATTTAAAACTTTTTAAAAACTTTAAACCAAAAGTGAAGTTTAAGTGACGCTACATTAGGGTGGTCCTTACACGGAAAAAAAAAGTACGTGAATCCTTCCTTGAAAGTGCTTGACTTTTGGATAGGACACAAAATACAAGGCTGTATCATATACTTTTTATTAGAAAATATAGAAAAGTCCTAGAGTTATTCTAGTACTAGTATGGGCAACAGTGTTTTTTACATTTTAACGAAAAGTCATTTGTTCAGTTTTATAAAGTACGTGAAAGATTAGTTGACTGCGCTTGAAAATTCTGTAGAGCATGCGCAGTGTGCGTTGCGCGTTTCTACCCAAGGTAAATGCCAGCTGATCGTCTGTTTCCATTTGTGTTAATTTCAGATGTGAATACACTATTATTTTATGAAAAACAAATAGTGTTAATATATATTTGTCTTCAAGAATTGACTTTCAAAAAAATATTTTTTATTTTGTGTTTCTCACAAAACAGAATGTTATGTAAGTAGGGGAGAGTGGGGCAAAATGGGGTACCTTTTTGAAATTGGCTGTTTACAGAGAACCAAACGAATAAATCGATTCAGCTAAACTTCAGAATTCTTCTTTGTACACTTAGCTTTGAGGAAATTATGATAATAGCGGAGAAAAAAATTTTTGAAAGAACTTATATCGTATTTTCTAAGAAAGTGCTAAAATCCCATTTTGCCCCACCCGTGGGGCAAAATGGGATGGCATCAAATAACTATACAAAACATTGAGTATTTTTTCAAAATTCATTCAATTCTTGTTGTATGAGATTATAAATACAAACAAAAAGTAGGATTCTTTATTATTATGAAAAAACAAGTAATATTTATTAGAATTTAACAAAAAAACATGGATATTGCAAAATATCGATATACCGATAATGAAACATCGATAGTATAAATGCCTCGAAGCAATAATATCGATTCTTCTGCTGGAAACCTTTAAATATGCATAATATAATGTTTTTAAATAGTTTTAATGAAACGGCGTAGCTTCCGGCATGCCCCACACTTAGGTACCCCATTCTGCCCCACACTGCATATTAAAACAAAATGCAATGTTTACAAGTTATTGTAAACAATTAAACAATCTATTCTATTGGAAATTACTCTAGAATAAGTACTGAAAAAGATACCACACTTGCCAAATTAAATGCATTATCCCAAAAAGTTTGGTGAGCACTTTAATTTTGAAAAAAATTCATATTTTTTTTGCTTAAAACTTAAAAGTTGTATAACTTTCAAAAAAAAATTTTCTTTGGAGTGTCTTCATAATTAATAACAGTTTCTTATCAACATGAATGATATATGTCGAGGAAAAAAAAATTAAAAGTACCTATCATGGAAAAACAGAGGTACCCCATTTGACCCGCCTACCCCATTTTGCCCCACTCTCCCCTATCAGTTTTCAGTGAAATAGCATGTCTCAGAAGTCGTGAAAAATTTCACCATGTGGTATATAAGAACAATTCGATACGTACTTTTAAGTGTTAAGTGTGTGTTTATATATAAGTTATACGCGAATATATGTGTGTGTGTTATAGGTTAGTTCATAAGTGTTCACGAACGTCGAAAGTGATACAATAATTGTTCTTTGTTTGTGTGATTAATTATCCAAATATGTGAATGAATGAGTGAATTTCAGAAAAACTGTGTGAACAAGTGGAAATTATTTTTTTTATTTTACAATTTTTTTGAAAGTCAATGAAATTCTCAAGCAAGGTACTAGAATATTTCATTGACTGCTTTTGAAACTCTCATGCAAAAGTACAAGACTGTTTTCAGTATTTTGTGTCGTATCCAAAAGTCAAGTACCGAGTCAATGAAAATTTCACGTACTTTTTTTTCCGTGTAGATAGCTGTCCGTATTTTTAACATTGAAGATGGTCACCCTGACCATCATTATGTAACCCACTACAATAAATTTCTCTCCGTGTAAATATTTTTTTTATATAAAAAATATACTGTAATTAATAACATCCAATTAATTATTTATAACATTTAAAATAAGTTTTGCTTTTTTTACGGCTTTAAAGTGAAGAAAATTGTCTATTTATGAGCAAAATTAATAATTTTCAAAAATGATCAATTGTTTACTCACAATCGTGCTATTTATTGTTTTTGGGGTCACTTATCACAAATTTGAAGTCACATTTCCAAAATTCAATGTGGCGGATATAAATTATTTTAAATTTAGCAATTTTCGTGAAACAATAAAAAATAAATAATTTGAATATGTACAATATTTTGAAAAGATTGTAATAATATTGTAATAATTTAATAAAGTTAATTTTAATATTCATTAAAATATTATATAAGAGTTTTAGTATTTTTAATTGTTCAATTAATATTTTTTAAATAATTGTTTATTTTTTGTTTTTTGTCTACATTTATTAATTTAATATTTCATCCTTTTGTGACTCACCATTTTTAACAGTCTCGATATTAAAATTCGCTTTTCTCAATTTAGAAATTTTGTAAGACTAAAAATTAATTTACGTATTTAGCTATGACTATTTGTTTTCAATATTAAATTATGCTTCCATTTTTGTCGTTCTTCAACATAAAAAAAGAAGAATTTGCAGAGCGAATGCGCGGTCGCAAAGGATAATACCAGTCAGGTAGCAGTGAGAGCCTTTAGTCCGCTCACTGCTATTTATTTATTTATTTATTTATTTATGACATATACGGGTAACAATAAAGACCCTTCAATATTACAAGTAACTTAACCAAAAATTACAGAGCCATAGATGCATATCAAACATTTTCAGTATAAAGAAATGAACGCAATTTAGTCACAAAAGATGTAACATTATTATGAAAGAAATCCAAATCATCCGAGTATAAGATACCCTCAAAACAAAGTCTACTAAAAACAGAATTATTGCCATAGTTCGTTCTATGAAATGATTGGAAAAATGGAGTAACATATCGCAAGCGTCGCACAGGAGCAGAGAAATTGATTAGTGACAATACTGAGGGACACATGATTAAACCATTAATTACCTTGAAAAGAAAAAGTAGGTCAACAAAACAAATCTGGCTGTTATTATCTAAATTCTAAATTTTGTTGACATTCTATATAATAGATATTATTAAAAATACTAGGTTCAGAAATAAAAATATTAGAATGTATTATGATCAAGTTTCACATTTTCATATTTACAAAATTTCCTAACATCAAATGATATTTTTTCTAAATTTATATATGAACTTCTGTATCCTAAAAATTACATTAAAAAATAAAACCTCGATTATCCCGAAATTTTTACGTTTTATTATAAATATCGAAATGCAATAAAGCAGTTATTGTAATTAAAAGATTTTCAGTGCATTTACTTAACATGGTGCATATCACACTATTGCAAGTAAGATAGACGGGGTTATATTTTGCTTGACATCGTCTACTTTTCTAATTTTTTATATCTATACAATATGTAAGAAAAGAAATTGTCAAATTACTGAATTTGATTTTTAATATTTTGTCTTTTATCCTCGACAAACTTTCAAAATTATGATGAAAGGAAACTTTCTTACCTGCTACCAACCACACCTACTCTTATATCTTTTAAAACCAAAGTATTTCAATTGAGTGTAGAATATGCATTTTTATTCTTTGAGAATAATAATACACAAAGCAATCTTTTGAAGTTATGATGACTAGAACAATGAATTGAAGAGAAATAAATTTATTAATTAATGTAAGTAATTAACATTAGTTAATCATTATTTGTATTTACTGAAACAAATATAAACAAGTAGTGAAAAATCTAAAGACACGGAGAATTAAACTCCTGACCCTGTGGCTGCAAAGTCGATGCCACATCCACTAACCTAAACCTACTTAACAAAAGTAAATGCAAAGTGAGCTTTTAAAGTCAAACTGAGGAGAATTCAAATTTTATTAATTAGCATGAAGATAACATTACTAAATGTTAACTAAGATTACAGTGTAATGATATTAAGAAATATTTTATTTTAATGATTCGATTTGACGAAAAAATAAATTACCGGTGCATGGTATTTATTACCGATAAAAATAAAATAAAAACCGCTCCCAAGCTGTGTTCATTTCATGAACACTTTGCTTCCTCCTAGAGATAATAATAATAAAAATAGAAATACATGCATAACTTTTCATAAATAGGGTAAAAATTATACCTTGGGCCAGTCAATGTATTTTTAAATGCTTTACAAGATGGTTATAATTGTATAATAGTTACACAAAAGTTTTTAAACAAAATAGTTAAGAAACTGATGTTTTCCACAATTTTTGGTTTTTAAAATACCAGTAATTTCGTATAATATCTGATCGAATTAGGTTCAAAAATAGGTCAAACCAAGCGTTTTTTAATTCTCAACAACTTTTTTTTGTAATATCTCGGGAACCCGTTATTATCTTTTGCTGTTCTTGGTTTCTATTTAAAGCCTTATTTGCAGAAGGGCTCTGATGAGGATTTAGTGAGGCCAACCACAATAGTAACGTCTAGATAGGTGATAATAGGGCATTGACTGGAATGCCTTCTTTTTCAAAATAGGGAAATCTAACTGGGTCTACTTATGCCCCTATTAAATATTCCAATCCAATAAATAATAAACAATGAAGTAAATCAGAAAAATAGTTCTAAACGCATATTAAAATACTCTATAAAATATGAAAACTAGTTGGGCAAAAATATTTG